ATTTATCATACCCTATTTGAAAGAGTGATAAAAGCACTTCTAGTTTTTATGATTATATAATTTCAAACGTATTCTGTATAGGGAAAAACAGGTTTGATGCGAGAGATACGTTTGAAGAGGACAGAAGATGCAAGAGCTGTTTTAGCGACATTTAGTATCGTACTTTTTTCTTCCTCAAAGCCAATTACAAAAATCTTGTTTTCTATGTTTTTTGAAGTTCAGACTTTGCTCTTTCAATCAGAAAGAGAATGCACTTTGTACAATGTTCCTGAGCGGAGAACCATGGTTGGAGATTTCCACAATTACTTTTGCATCGTAGGTTATTCGATTTTATTTCTTTTTCGCATCAAATATTCATTGTTTTTCCGTGTTATCTTACCTAAAATTATATGCTTTTGTACTTATACAATTTCCCCCAATAAGTGGATATGTTTTGTAATCAAAACTTTTCGAATGTATATCTATGGAATATTTATCTTGTTCTAATAATTTTCGTTTACGTTTCAAACGATCTAACAATAATTCTTTTAATTCATATTTTTTCATTAAATAAGTTTGTTGAGACTGTTTAATTTCATTATCATAACGTTTATTGATTCGTTCATTTTCAATTTTGTAATGTGCTTTCAATCTAAAATAAACGATAAAAAAAAAAACTATTTTAGAAGATATCATTAATTGTTAAAGAATTGTGTAAATTTCTGCATTTCAATTACGTACACAATATTCTTGTTAGAAAATATGAATCAGATTAATTCAAACATTCAAAATACAGTTTTTATAAGATTGATTTTATAAGATGAGCTCTTTCAGTTATAGTATACGTTTATTAGTAGAATATGTTTAGAATAGTTTAGTCTATTATATCCGCAAGATATCAAATGCTGTATCTACCTTAAGCAATCTAGTTGATATTTGTCGAATAGTGTTTGTAGTTGTTCTTCATAATCATGGTTATAAACAACGTTTGTTGATGACGGTTGTTGTTGAAATTCACATAATTGTGCATAGAGAAATTTTAAATGTTGATCAAATGTCGATTCTAGTTTTTGACGATGTAAACGTTGTTGACGAGTTTGAATACGGGGATTTGTAGTACGACTAGAAGAATTGTCCAATGTATAAAAGGGTTGACAACATGTTACAGCAGTTGAGACAGTCGGTGTAGTATTTGAAGAAGAAGGGCAACAATTTGTAGAGAGAAAAACTGACGAGGAATCGATTGATTTACGTTTATTCATCTGAAAATGACTAGACTTAAAGAAGCATACTTTGATTAAAAAAATTCCAAAAGTACAAAACTATTGTATTTGACTAAAGATAACGTCAGAAAAAAATGAATAAGGAGCGCAAACGTTAGCAATATTAGATGATTTACTCCCTACAAGAAGAAACTGTTATTGTGTTTTGAAATGTCGCCGAAAAAGCGACTACAGTGATAATCATAGCTAAAGCAAAAAGTAAACTAATAGTATGCAGAAGAACATACTGTTAAATAAATGAAGAGCATAGATAATAATACACAAAATGTGGCTTATTCACTTAATAAAATTTACTGTTTGTTGTGTGGCTCGGCTCAACTGCCGAGTTCAGTTTTTCTTCAGTATCATTTATTTGAATTGGTGATTGTGCTCTTTTTGAGACAGTACAGAAGAATTAGACTGAAAATCAGTGTTTTTAATAGAAATTTTTTCCAGAGTGAAACTTTCCACTTTGCTATTAGCGTCAAAGTGGGGTTTCCACTTTGCTACGAAACATAAAGTGGACAAAATGAAAACAGTTGAAATTTTTGTCCAGTAGCGGCAAGAAGAGATTTTTTTTCTTCATAATATTCTGTTGATGTTAATCGTCAGACACTAGCGATATCGGCTCGTGATAAAAATTAGAGGATTAAAGAGAAATTCTCATAGTTCTCTCGCTCACATTTGTTTAAAAAATAGCTATCGATGCGTTACTTTTCTGAGGGAGAAAATATGAAAAAAGACAAAGTGGAAATTCTCAAAACCAGAGTGGAAAACAAACTGGGATATACTTTTCTCAGCGTGGAAAACAGAATGAAAATTCATTATTCAAAGTGGAAACTCATTTTGCTCCAGCTTGTCCTACTAATCATTAAAAACGCTGCTGAGAATAAAGTTTTCATTTAAGGTAGTGCTTACTATCTAGATGAGAAAAATCTAACACTGTTTCGATTGAGTTCGTACTTTGTGGAATAAAGTATAATCACCGTAGCATTAGATCAT